CTTCCTCGGTGGGGAATTGGGATCCCGGCTCCATTTTCCCCGTCAGACTCCTTCCACGCTCCCGTGCTGCGGTTTTCTTGCGGGCAGGGAAGGGAAGGACGGCACACAGTTTCAAAAATGGAATTTTTGGGGGGGGAGGAAAGGGCTTTTGGCGCGCAGGGTTGCTGCTGCTCTGGCCTAACTTTGCTGGTGGCCGTCGTGATACTTCACATTGATGTTAGCAGAGTGTGTGTGCAAACATCGTCTAATTAAGGCGTAAATACTTGGTCACCCCTTCCTCACCTCCTGCAGCTCTTCTGCGGCTCTCACTGGCCTCTACCGGGCAGAGCGCTCCAGTCTCCGTCCCTTTTTGGGTCTCATCCTGCTTAGGACGTCCCACAGCCACCTCCGGGAGTGGGACCGGGGTTGTTTAGGGTCTCCTTTCCCCCTCGTAGGTGCTGTCAGTGCTGTGTCGGAAGAGATTGGTGCGGGAGGACCCGGGCCCAGAGAGTGGGGCAGGCATCGGGGCTGCGAAACCCAACTGATTTTTTGCGTAACCGCCTGGCTGCCCAAAATCACAGCTGTCCCCCGCGCTCAGCCTCCGTTCCTCCCCGTGGGGAATTGGCATTGCAAAAATTTGCAGCACACAGACAATTAGAAATGTGGGGAATGGAGTCTGCTGCGCCATTAAACAACCAGGGCTGCTGCGCTCGTCGTGTTAATTCCGGCCCCCCCCCCATTTAATTAAAAGTCTTAATTTAAACAAAGCTTTTGCGCAGAATCCCCTGTCTGCTGCAAGAAAGTTGCTGGAGGAATCCAGGGGATTTAAATTCAGTCTGCCGTGGTCGCGTACGGGGGACTTTGTGTCTGATTTGCAAAATGAAATTTGCTGCCAGCCGCCTCCTGAGGGCTGAGGCTTTGCTTTGCTTCTCTCCCTTGGAAAAAAAAAAATAAAAATAAGCACAGAAAAAAAAAAAAAAGAGAGAGAGGAGAGAAGGAAAAAGCTTTGCTGCATAAACCCCAGATGG